CCAAGAAACAATTTTGAGGGCACTGATGGATCAATTTTTAAGGTAGAAGAAAGGCAGGAAAATTCCAAAGAAAAGGAAAAACACTTGGACCTTGATTTTGCCCATGGAAATAGAGACCAAGAGAGCATCAATATTTACCAATCTATTTGCTTACTTTCCTTTCTATGCAAATTTTTTTTGAGAATGATCTACCATTATAATAAGGGTATTAGAAGAGAATAGGCAGGCTTCTACTAATGATAATCAACAAGGATTTATTAAGTGGCTACCATGTGCCAGTTGCCACATATTTACAATCATAAAATTGGTTCAGAGGTAAACACAAGAGGCCACAGTGTTTATTGTCTATTGACTATATAAAAAGCACTTGTTTTGGTAGAGCAAACTGCCATCTTAAAGGATCTCCTCCAACAATATGTCTCCCAAGCATGTGTCAAAAATCACACACAATTACTGGAATGAGGCAACTACAAAGATAATTTTGTTTAAGGTCCCTGATTACTATTATCAATCTAAGCATAAAACAGGGGAACATGTCACCAGCAAACATATTCGTCTCTGTCCTGGAGGAGATCCAACATAGAGTATAAATGGAAGAAGAATATCCCTATAGATGAAGATCTTCCAAATGCTCCTATTTATGGAAGATACTATGCTAATTGTAATTATACATAATATTGTAGAATTTCCTAAATGAGATACCAGATTAATTTAAGAGTCTGGCCTAACCACACAGATGGGGAAAACAAAGTAGATGAAAAATTCCTATGGTCTGAATGATGATATACAATTGTATGGACAAACTATAGAGCTTATCCATCTGGGACAGACACTGCGAGTGGACAATGTGATGGGCCTAAAAAGCAAACAGGTGGAGGAAAGAAAAGTTGTGTTTCATTTAGAAAATGATACAGTTTTTTTTAATAGTCTCAAGCTTTTCTCTGAAACCAAGGCCCATATTTTTTCAGTAATGATACGGGGATATTTCAAGGCCATGGGTCATGGAACACTATATTCTCTGACGATCTGAGGTGGAAGATTATCTAAAGGGCAATGAAAAGATTATTTTGAGCTTGAGCAGAATACAACACATTGCAGATGAGGAATCACACAGAAGAAGTGGTATAAAAGACGTATTCAGTGAAAGAAAGGTGAGTCAGTAAAGACAAAGAACAATTAATAGATAGCTGGCATGTTCCCCTGGCATCTATGGAGTGCCACGGGAATGCAAAGAAGATTATTTAATGGACCCCCTTGTGAATATAGTGAAGAACAGAGATGAGAGTTGCAAAAGATGGACAGGTATAGATGGGTTGATCTACATCATTGGAGAGAATACCCTCATTGATGACATTAAGGCTCCATTAAAATCTTACAATATCCATTTTGATCAAAGGAAAACTGCTACATACATTGTTCAAACATTTTATGAATGGAAAGATACAGCATCAAAAAATGCTTAAGATGTGAAGCAAATATAAATAATCCAAAAATTATCTAGGCAGCTCCAATGAAAGGTATGGGTATAGAAAGAGGTAAAGAAATATGTTGCAAGAAAGTTATCATTCATACTTAAAGAGAAAATTTTGCTTGTCTTCATCTAAGTACCTTCAAAGAAAGCCATTTTAAAAAAAAACTTGTAAATATCTTTGAGAAGCAATGTGGCATAGTGAACCCAGGAAGACCTGAGTTCAAGTCCCACTTACGACATGTGCTAGCCATGTGACCATGAGCAAGTCATTCATGTGACCTCTCAAGGCTCTACGAAAATCTTTAAGACTACAAGTTGCAGTGAAGATGCCAACCTGAATTTATAGAGGAAGTTTCCTCATTGGAAAGTTCTTTATCCCAATAAAATCACAGATCCAGTCCCAATCCTATAACTATCTCTAAGGTTGCTCTGAGCTCTGTAATTACTTTATTGATATAAAATAGATGTGTATTCTTTCTTGATTGATTTGATCACTTAATAATTCAGAATCTAATATTCAAATAAATAACTTTTCACTTTTATTAACCCAGTATGGTTAATTGGCTTGTTATTATGTTCCCAATGATGGAACAACACAACTATTTGAAACTATGGGCAAGAAAAAAAAAGTTTTTAAATAATAATGCCTAGCATTTATATAATACTTTAATACTTGTAAAGCACATATATATATACATACATACATACATACATACACATATACATATGTACACACAAGATACACCAGGGGTAATCCAGACCAAGCTTTGTATAGTTATATGTATACATATACATGTATATATGTGTGTGTATATATATATAATCTCATTTGATCTTCACAACAGCCCTGTGAGGTAGATGCTATTATCATTCCCATTTTACAGATGAGGAAACTGTGGCTGAGAAGTGATGTAAATTGTCCAGGGTTATACAACTAGTAAGTGTTTGGGGGAAGATTTAAATTTGAGTCTCCCTGACTCCAAGTCCAACAATCTATTTACTGCACCACCTAGGCATGAGGAAAGGTCCCTAGCTTTTTTCTAATGGGAAGAAAGTAGAATTGGTGTCATCACTTTCTTTCTTTCTTTCTTGTTGATACCACCTTCCAGTTCTGTTGAAAGTCTGGGACCAATGTATTTTCCTAGAAGTTTGCTTGCTCAGTGGTAGCTGACCAAAAAGGAGCAGAATATATTTGAACTTGGGAGGGGTTCAGATTCCTTTAGGGTGAATTCGAGGAAGGCTCCAAGAATCCCTGGATCAAAATGGATCTCTGGACTCAATTATGCAATGAATGATTCTCACTCCCCATTCTTACCCTCCCAACCTCCCCAGGATTCCCTGAAATGCTTAATAGCAGAATAATCTTAGGTCTGTCTAAGCCTCCTGGGGCCATCCTCTATGGGAGCAAACATTATGGATTTAGACATAACCAGATTACACTAAGGCATGCAAAGAGCTAAATCATCATAATATTCTGCTCTTTTTCTATCTCTACCCCCACCCCCTTCATCTATGATCATACCACTACTGCTCTTGGCTGCCAGGGGTTATCCAGACCAAGATTTGTATAGTAAGCCAATTCTTTTCTATATGGATGACATTGTTCTGTATGATTTTTAGCATTTGTTTTCTGGGGAAATGTAAACTCTTAATAATTAGTGGTTTCTACTTCTGTTGCTATTGATTCTTTTGATATTGTTATTTTTATGAAAGCTTTGCTTCTCTGTGATGTCACAATTTTCTCTCCAAAAAAGTAATATAGATGAGAGAAATGTACAGGTGTATGGTTGTCAACTACTCAAAGAATCTGTGATTTTGTGAGGAATTCCCTACATCAACCCAGAGCACAGTACAGTTATGACTTAGTCCAATGATTTCAAACTCAAATAGAAAAAGAGGGCACTAAACTGTACCTAAGGACCCCTACTGTTGCATATTGACTTAGCAAAACCACACATTAATGTTACGTTCTATTGTATTTTTATAGTTTGTTAAATATTTCTTAATTACATTTTTATGGTATTTTATTTTATTTTTTTTATTGGGGAAAAATAAAATATTCCCCAATTACATATAAAGACAATGTTTAATGTTCATTTAAAAAAAACTGAGTTCCAAATTTCCTCCGTCCTTCCCCTCCCCCCTCCCTAAGAGGGTAAGTAATTTGAAATACCTTATGTATGTGCAATCATGTAAAACATATTTCCACATTAATCATGTTGTAAAAGAAGAAACAGATAAAAAACCACAAAAAAAATAAAGTGAAAAATAGTAGGCTTTGATCTGCATTCAGACTCCATCAATTCTTTCTCTGTAGATGGATAGTATTTTTTATCCTGAGTCCTTTGGAATTATCTCAGGTCACTATATTGCTGAGAGTAGCTAAATCATTCACAGTTGATCATTGTATAGTACTGTTACTGAGTACAATGTTCTCCTGGTTCTGCTCACTTCACTTTGCATCAGTTCGTGTAAGTCTTTCCCCAATTATGTTTTCATCTGGTCCTTGTGTTGACACCTCTGACTTAAGATCATAGATTTAGAGCTGGAAGGGACCTCAGAGGCCATCTGATCCAATTCCCTTATTTTACAGATGAGGAAGCTCAGTGATTTGCCCAAGGTCATCCAAGTAACAAATGGGAGAGGTAGGACTCTGAACATGTCTTTTGACCACAGAGGCAGGGTTCTTGCTCTCCAAGACCCCACATTGCCCTATTCTAGAGAAATACCTAAGACACATACAGGTGGAGAGACTTACTTAGAGTCACACAGTTATCATCTAAGGCAGGATTTGACCACAGGTCTTCCTGATTCTCTCTCCACAATCCCAAGATGCCTTTATAAGGGCACACAACACCAACAAAAAAATGAAAGAAAGTGGTGAATGAGATCTACAGCCGCTGAAGTACTGTTTTCAATGATAATAGTGAAAAAAGAAATACAGAAATTACAAAATCATCTAATCGTGTCAAAGGATTTAAACCTAGAAAGAACCTTAAAGATTATCTAGTCCAGAGGTTCCCAAACTTATTTGACTTACAATCCTCTTTAAAAAAAATTACTCAGCACCCCTCTGGAAACCTACTTTCTTTAACCCTTTAACAGTTTTTTAAAAAAATTTATATCATTTCAGGAAAAATATAAAATATTTTATTAAAAGATGACATGTCTTAAATTTAATAATTTCTTATAAATTTGTGGGGGGTTTTCCTGCATTGAAATTTTGATGATGCAATATTGCATCATGTAACTGTATAGTAAGTACCGTATTGTAAACAAGTCATTACATACACATATTCTTGCCCATGAATGCTGGACTTCCCAACAATGCTTGCAACATGCTTGCCTGCCAACACTTACTTGTTAAGACCTGTTGGTGGACTTGACCACTGATTGGTTATAACTTGCATTCTGTGTATTTATTTGGAAAATAATGTAATCCTACAATTTTAACTGTTACACAGCAGATGAAACATGTATAAATGGTTTTTCAAAATTTTCTCATCTTCTCTTCTTTCCTTATGCTTCCACTGCCCCTTATTTTTATTCAATGCTCCCCCAATTACACCCCAGGCTACTACTGGCCCACTGGATTGTTCCAAGGGGTGGTATCACTCACTTTGGAAACCTATGATTCTAGTCCAAAAACCTCATTTTACAGGTGAGGAAATAGAAACATAGAGAAGTGGTCCCACTAATGGTAAGGAGTAGAATTAGAATTATGACCCAGGTCCTCTGATTACCATGAGTTGAATCTGCAAAAACAAACAAACAAATGAATGAATGAATGAATGAAAATCCTTCTAGTGATGAGTATGTACACAAACTAGCAAGGCTTGTCTTTGGATGATCAACACACAGTCCACCAACAAGCCCAGATTCAAAACCCTCCACGGGCATGGTATTTAATAATTCAGGGTCAATTCAATTTAATTCAATTCAACAAGTATTTATTAGGCACTTACTATGTGCCAGGCATGGTACTAGGTACTAAGGATAAAAAGACTAAAACAAAACAGTCCTTGACAGCAAGGAGTTTACATTCTCATAGGGAGAAAACCATCATTAAGATCCTATAATCAATAGGACCCATAATGAAACATGCTTCCCACCTCCTTACAGAGAGGGGATGGATTGAGGGTGCAGATTGAGATGTATATTTTTTGGAGATGGCCAATATAGAAATTTGTTTTGGTTGACTATGCATATTTGTTACAGAGGATTCATTTTTCTTTTCTTTTTTTTCTTTTTGCAAATGGTGAGAAAGGGTAGCAGAGGTGAGAAGGAAAGAACATTTTTTTTTGCTTCTTGAAAAACAAAGATGTTATAATCTACCAATAATCTTGTGATCTCATCATCGTAGGGCCCCCTATTCCCTTTATATATACAGATAAGTAAAGACAAAATAAACACAAAGGGATATTCAATAAATATAAATTAATATACAATAAATGCAAAGGATCATATAATAAATACAAAGGAATTTCCAGGTCAAGGATAACACTAACAAATGGAAAGATTAGGAATAATATTTTATGGGATATGTACTTGATATGAGATTTGAAGGGAGACAAGGGTTCCAAAGGTGATGGTGAGGAGGAAGAGTATTCTAGAAACTGGATACAGCCTATGCAAAGTTATGGAGGCAGGAGATAGAATACAATGTGCAGGGGAAAGTGAGTAGGCTGCTCAAGATGGAGCATAGAGGAGTGAAAGGAAATTATGTGTCATCAGCCTGGAAAGATAAACAGAAGTCCAATTATAAAGGGCCTTAAATGCCAAACAGCAGAGATTACATCTTACCCTACAGGTAATAGGGAGCCACTGAAGTTTCTTAAGCAGAAGAAGAACGCAGTTAGATCTGGGTTTTAGGAATACCACCTTGGCAGCTGTGTAGAGGATAAATTGGAGAGGGAGCAGTTTAGTTCTAGGAGACCAAATAGGAAACTATTAAAATATTCTGGTCACGAGGTAATGTGGCTTTGGGAAAGGGCTTCGGGATATTCAAGATGAATAAGATTATTTCTCAAATTATTTTCATGTGTGCTTGCAGATATTATTGTTTTATAATAAAGGCATATACAGTAGTCTTTCCCTATAAAAGTGTATGTGTGTGTGTATGTGTGTGCATGTGTGTGTTTAGTGGTTGGGCATGGTTTGTTGTTGTTGTTGTTGTTGTTGTTTGGGGAGAAGGGAGGAGTGGTCCAGACCTATGATTTCATCATTGAAAGGAATTCCCAGTTTGGAAATTTCCTCAACAACTCACCTATAATTTACCATTTCTGATAATTGTCTTTGATGCTGAAAGATTAAGGATCCATGGTTAAACAGCCAGTATGGGTCAGAGGGAGGAAACCCTTCCCAACCTTCTTAATTTTAACCCTTTTCCTCTGTTAATTATTTCCTATTTATCCTGTACTTAGCTTGCTCTGTATATATTTGTTTATATGTTGTCTCTCCCGTTAGATTATGCACTTCTTGAGGGCAGGTGTCTATTACCTCTTTTTGAATCTCCAGTACTTAGAACAGTGCCTGGCACATTGGAGATGTTTAATAAATGTTTATTGATAGATCAATTGAACCTAGATTTTTCCTGACTCTAAAGCAGGCTCCAAATCCACTCTGCCCCCTTGCCTCTACAAAGTTCATAAAAGTTTTTAAAAGTTCCAAACTAACACATTCACATAAAACAGATCTTTGTCCAAAAACAAATTACAAATTAGAACTCATTAATTGCTTGCAAGAAAATGATTAACACATTTATCCAATTACTTACGTGTTTTCTGTGGTATTCATGCTCCTAACAGTTTGACGATCATGTTTCCGGATACTTTTGCTTCCTTGATATTCGAGAGCTGCACAGTGATAGCAGAAAAGCTCTATTTTCTTTGCGTATCAGCTGCTTTCCAGAGTTTCCAAAACATCAGTGAATAACCCCTCCCCTTGAAGTATAAATAAAAGTCTTTCTTGGATCAAACAAGCATGTCTAAACGTTTATTTCTAGAACATTGCTGCCTTCGTATGCAATAAACCTAAACAAAACAACTCAGCAAGATGTGCTTAGCTTTAGGAAATAACAAATGAAATGAAGAATAAAATGTCCGGTCAGAATTGACATTCGTCCAAAAGCTGGTCAGGCTGGCATAGGCCACAAATGAGGTAGTTCATGCATCTGATCTCTTAACGTAAACAGAAGTGCCAGCTGCAGAGAAAGCAAGCTCAAAAACAAAATGTGATGATGAAGAAAAAACAGAAATATAGTGTTTTTCACATATGTGACTTTCATTCACTGTTGTGTTCTGATGTTTAAACAAGATGAAGACACAGCTCACATTTTTTTCCCTTTGTTCAATTTATCCCTCCATGGGTAAAGGTCCCAGTTTACCCAACTCCCAAGAAAATGGTCTTGAATTAATCTTTGGGTCCTGGCAGACTTTTTCTGCTCCCACTCTGTATATTATTCAACCCTATCCCTTCTTCCCAAGTAATATTTATCACATCTGCTCTTGGTCTTCATTCTCTCATTAAAGTACTCAGCCAAGATGTTGGTCTTCTTTTGGAAGGATGCTTATTTTCTCTTCCACAGTTTAGTAGCCAAACCTTTTTTTTTTCTTGCTGTCATCTAGACCATCCAGTTACGCTGGCATATTATTTATTCCACTCCTTAAGATGAGAGCCAAACTCTTTCCATGGCCTGCTACTCTTAATCACAGGAAAAGAGAGCATGAGGTCATCCTTTGTGCCAGGCTTGTGATCTCTCCAGGCCAGAATTATCTATGATGGCATCACCAAGGAGATTTTGTGGAAGAGTATGGCAGATGCCCTCCATGACTTTGTGGTCAAAAGTTAGTCATCTATGCTGTCTGGAGAATTTCAGTAGCTTTTAAAGTGGTCTCTTCCTCTCCAGTCCAGTGTATCCTACACATTGCTGTCAGAGGATCTTCCTTAAAAAAAAACACAGCTCTGTTCATGTTACACTCCAGCTCAGAATTCCTCACTGGCTCCTCATGGCCTGCAGAAGAAGCATGACATTCAAGATCCTCCATTGTATGCCCTCAATCAACACGGAATGGTAGAAAGAGAATGAATTTGAAGTTAGAAGACATGGGCTTGGGGCAGCTAGTGGTGCAGTGAATAGAATTCTGGCCTTAGAGTCAGGAGGACCTGGGTTCAAATCCAGCCTTGATACTTACTAGCTGTGTGACCCTGGGCAAGTCACTTAACCCTGATTGCTTCACCAAAAAGCAAAAAGAAGAAGAAGAAAGAAGAAGAAGAAGAAGAAGAAGAAGAAGAAGAAGAAGAAGAAGACGACACTGGCTTGAGATTCAGCTCGGCCCTCTTCAGCTGTGTAATTCTGGGGATTGCACTCAGTCTCTCTCAGACTCAATCTCTTGGTCTGAAAAAGGAGGGAGTTAGACCACGTATTATCTACGTTCCGTTCTAGCTCTGAACTTCTGTGATATTTCTCTGGCCTTGTCTCCTGTGATTCCCCCTCCAGAAAAGCCAGACATTCACCATTACTCAAACCCACTCTCCACTTTCCCACATGTATTTTCCCACCTTTGTGACTTTGCTTCCACTGTACTGTGTACCTGGCATGCCTTCTCTACCCCTTCATCTCCACCATTCAAAATGAGAAGAAGCACGGAATTCAAAGCCAGAGAACCTGGGCTCAAATCCTGGCTTAGCTACTTTCTTTCTGTGTGGCATTGGGCAAGTCATTGAACCCCTTTGGACAAGAGATGGCCTTTAGGTACCTTACATCCCCAAATCTATGATACCATTAAACACCCCTCAGTTCATTACAGAATCTCTGGGGCTGGCCATAGGCTTGCCAGTGACTGACCCTTCAAGATTTGTTATCAGGTGTGCTGTTAAACATTTAATAACTAGCTCTTAAAAAAAAGAAAGTACTCACAACACACTTTTAAGTTTAATCTGCATTTTTAACATTTTCTCCATCATATCCTTAAGTCTGAGCAATCAACAAAACAACAAATCAAGCCTTGATTTATAGCAATTGACAATTTCTGAGGTGTATGTGCTCACGCTGAAAATTTAACAACTGGCTCTTATGAACCGGTTCAAGCTGACATCAGCATAACCAGCACAACAAAGTTACTGAACTGCTTCCTCCATGAAGCCTTCATTGATTCCCAAGGCAAACGTTATCTCCTCCTCATCCTCTGGGTTCTCACTCAGCACTTTGTTTTTACCTCTCCTATCACACTTATCCCAATCTACATTGCATTGTGTTTATGTAGGTACATGCCTTATCTCCTCTACTTGAGAGGTCTCATGCATCTTTCTAACTTCCCTGGTACCGGCAGAGTGTTTTGCACATGGCCGAAAACTTAAAAGTTTTCTTAGTATTATCTCATTAACCAACATCATAATATTTTCTTAATTTATATAGAGTTTTAAGATTTGTTGTTGTCATTTTTCAGTCGTGTCTGACTCTCCATGATCCCATTTGGGGTTTTCTTGGTGAAGATAGATACCGAAGTGGTTTGCCATTTCCTTCACCAATTCATTTTACAGATGAAGAAACTGAGGCAAACAGGGTTAAGTGCTAAAACAGCTGCTAAGTGTTTGGGGCTGGATTCAAACTTAAGAAGATGGGTCTTTTCAGTTCCACATCTAGTGCTCTATCCCCTCTATCACCTAGCTGCCCCTTTTAAGATTTGTAGAGTGCTTTACAAATAATAGCTTATTATATCTTTACAATAACCATGTGAGGTAGATACAATTATTGTCTCCACTTTACAGATGAGGAAACTGAGGCTGAGAGAGGTTAAATGATTTGCCCAGGGTCACACAGACAGTAAGTGTCTAAGACAAGATTCAACTCCAAGCCCAACACTCCTTCCAACTCTCTTCTCTACTTTAAACTGAAAGGAGAAGCAACATGATACAGTGGATAGAGCACTGTACTTGGAGTCGGGAAGCCTGAGTTCACATTTCTACCTCTGTCACGATCTTCATGACCCTGGGCAAATCATTTAGACTCTCTGAGCATCACTTTCCTCATCTGTAAAATAGACAGAACTTCTCAATATATTGTTGTGAAGATCAAATGAGATAATAATTGTAAAGCAATAAGACCCTGGGAAAGTCACTTAACCCTGTGTGCCTCAGTTTCCTCATCTGTAAAATGAGCTGGAGAAGGAAATGGCAAACCACTCCAACACCAAATGGGGTCATGAAGAGTTGGATCCAGCTGAAAACTACTAAACATCTCTCACACACACACCCTTATTCCTCTGACACTTTCACAGCCCTGGTGCAAGCCTTCATCACTATTCTCTTCATCACTAAGGCTATTGCAACAGCTTGCTGATTGGTGTCTCTTCCCACTCCAGTCTAGCCTCCATTCAGTTTCCCAAGTGATCTTCCTAAAGCACAAGTCTGATGATGTCACCTCCCTACTCAATAAGCCCCAGTGACTCCCTATCATCTCCACGATCAAATATAAAATCTTCTATTTGGTGTTCAAAGCCCTTCATAACCTGGCCCCCTCCTATCTTTCTTGTCTTCTTACACCTTACAGCATCCTTGCCCCCTCCTCCCCACATACTCTGAGATCCAGTGACCCTGATCTACTCGATGTTCCACAAACAAGACACAACATCTCCTGATTCCAAGTATTTTCTCTGGTTGTCTTTCATGCCTGAAAAGCTCTCCCTTCCCATCTTTACCTCCTGGCTTCCCTAGCTTCCTTGAAGTCCCAGCTAAAACCTCACCTTCTACAAGAAGTCTTTTTCGATTTCCTGTAATTCCGGTGCCTCTCCTCCCTTGATTATTTTCCATTTATACTGTATACAGCTTGTTTTTCCATAGTTTTGACATGTTGTCTTCCTCACTAGACTGTGATATCCTTGAGAGCAGGGACTACCATTTATCTTTCTTTGTATCACCTACATTTAGGTACCTAATTAGTGTTTATTGATTGATTGACTCATATGACCTTGAGTAAGTCATTTAATTTCTGTGGTCTTTAGTGTCCTTAAATCTAAAATAAAATGAGTGGAGATGATGATCTTCAAGAAGCCTTTCAGTTATAAATATACAATAGTGCTATGAGTGGAATGCCAAAAATCTCTTTAAGAATACAGTCGTACACCTGGAAGGATTCTCCAAACATCCAATAGTCCAGTCTCTGCCTTCAGGCAATGACTGTCTAACCATCTAAGACGGCTCATGGTCTGTTTCCATCTTGAAGAGATGGAGGGTTCTTGAATCTATGTGAACCATCAGGGGCAACCCAACATTCTTGAGGATGTGAATGAAGTGAAGACTTTTCAGAGCACATCTGTACCTTGAAGCCTCATGCCATGCAATGTACCAAGCACCCTGTTCTACTTCCATTAACCCCATGATTGTGGATCCAAGTGACTGGTGTCAGAGTCAACTTCATTCAGTCCTGCTAATTATAAATTAATGGATTATCTGTATATAATCACTTATTTCAGCCCATATGACTAAAAGCTTACAAGGCAGCTAGACAGCACAAGAGATAGAGTACAGGACCTGATGTCAGGAAGTCCTGAGTTCAAATCCAGCATCAGACACTTACTAGCTGTGTGACCCTAGGTAAGTCATTTCACTTTTGTCTGCTTCTGTTTCTTCATCTGTAAAATGGGGGTAATACTAGCACCTTCTTCCCAGAATTGTTGTGAAGATATATAATAAGAAAATATTTGTCAAGTGTGTTGCAAATCTTAAAGTGCTATGTAAATGCTAGCTATTACCATTGTCAGACAACTTTACACACCCTGCTCATTTATGAGGTGGAGGACTGGACTCCAGTTAAAGGAACATAAAGAAACACAATCTACCTTATTCTAAAACAGAAGATAAATCCCATAGAATTTCAAGTGTCATTAAAATGTTCTAAAGTTTAAGAAGCCTTCTATAGAATAAGTTGTCTAAGGACAGGTAACAATTTGGTTTAAAAAACACCTGTCAGTCTTAAATATAAAATATTAAATATTAGAATATTAAAAAGAAGTGTAAAAAGA